AAATGAGTTTTCCATTTTTGCCTGGGGAGTTCTTCAAACCTAGGAGAGGCTTCAAATCTTTCTTCTATGCTTACTTCAGTGCTTTCTCCTCAATGTAGAGCCTCAGTTTCCTCTGGGGTCCCATAGTACTCTGCACATAGCCACAAAGTTATTCACTAAGATTATTGTCAAGAGATTCTGCAACTCTCTGAGAACTCTATCAATTCATGTCTGTATGGTCATTCACTAGCACCATGCCTAGCATAAAGAAGATATTTAGAAAGTGTTTGCAAATGGATTAAAAAATGAATTAACTAAAGTAGGTTAATTTTTTCTAAAGTAACTCTTTGTTCTTCCCCACCCCTCCCCACCAGCCTATCATCCTCTGGCCACTCTGTTATTGAGGTAGTTGTCACCCTATCGCTTCACTCAGTGTCACAGACACCATCTCTACCTGTCCTTCCTGCCAGGCCTCCTGATCATTGACATGGAATCACTCTCTTTACCATGCATGGTGCTAAGATCTCTTGTGCCTTGGTGTATGTGGTTCTTTGCTACTGGTCACAGCTCTCCCTCTCAACTCTTTCCTTCCCTTGCCTGGAGTCAGTCTCACTACGCATAACCCTCTATGTTCCCCCAGTGGGAGGTGGTGGTCCTGGTTCCAGATCCACCTTCCCCATGGAAGCCACTGGGTAGGACAATCACCCAGGTACAGCTGGATGCATGCATCTACTCATCAGCTGCTGGGTGCACTGGTTTGTGATGGGCACTTGGAAAGGGCTGGGAATAGAACGGGTGTTTTGGGACCATGAGCATTGGAGACAGGCCATTGTCTGCAGGTGCTCTCCTCCCCAGGACCACCTGCAATTAATGTGAGTCTGTGTCCCCGGGGTTCCGACTTTTCATTATCTTCCCATCTTGTGGATGCAGGGGGTCCTGCCCATGCCCCCATTCATGTGGGGCAACAGATACAGTGATATGAATGGGAGATGACTTAGGTTTTCTGCCTATCGAGGGTCCCCTCTGACCAGGAGGATCTTCACTCTGTGTGGTTGTAGAGTCTTCTGACTCAGGACATGATGTACATGGGCAACAAGAGTCTGGCTCATACCTGAGACCTTAGCAATCATGTATGTCCCCCACTTCCTTCTGCCCGAAAAATGCAGTGCCTCATCCTCACCATTGAAACCTTCATGATCTGGCCTGGCACACCTGGTGCTCAGGCATCTGAGGTTATGCTCTAGGGCGTCTGGTTTCTTGGACTGTCCATATGGTCAGCTCCAACCAAACGTCTCTTGGAGTTCTGATTTTCTCTGCAAACACTTTGGAGGCCCACTCAGGGTTCATCTGAGGAATGAACAAGGAGACCAAAGAATACACTGTGAAAATCCAGTGGTAGAGACCGATTCACCTGTCATCAGACACACAGCTCAGTGACTCAGCCTCCTGACCCACAGAGATGCCTGTATTCTAGCCCATTCTCGGTCAGCTGTGCCAAAACAGCTCTGACCAAGGTAATTTTCCAGGTCAAGAGACACTTGTCCATGGAGATTTCAACATGTATGAAAATGACACAGGGTCATAGAGCTGGCAGATGCAGTAGCCATTTCCAGTGACTTAAATGCTGGCAAAGGTGGGGTTGAGGGAGAGCTGGTGAGAGGTGGGGGCTACCCTTGATGAGGAGTGCAGCATCTGCTTGGAAGGGATCTTTCATGAGGAAGGTGTGTTCATGTTATTTTATTATTTCAGGAGTGTGAGCTTAAAGAGACAACATGAAGCCTTTTCTTCTTTGGTGTGGTATCTCCAAAATGTGACTGTAGTTTGGGGTTTTTCTTCTAAATCCATGTTGTCAGCTTTTTTTCTGAGAGCTGCAGTTGGAACCTCAGTTCACGTTCATTTGTGATATTTCTTTTCTTCCCGTGGTCGGGGAAGAACGCCAAATAATTTGGGTAATCCAAAGACAATTCATAACTGGTAGGATCCCACCAGGGGATTTTTGCTTATCTCACCATGTCCAGAGAAGAAAGAAACAGATTGCAGTTGGGTTTATCTCTCTAAATCAGCTAGACAGGGCTGCAGTGAATCAGAACAAAGCCATGTCATCAGTGGTGGTGGTGGTGGGGAGGGAGGGGCAGGGCCTTTGTGGATTAGATTGACTCTGTTGGGTTTTCCTTATATCTCTGTATTAGGCTCTTCCTTTTATTTTTATTTTGCTTATCTTTAATGGTGACAAGTAAAACAGCAGTATTAAATCCATTTAATTTTGATATTTCATCAATATTTAATATAATCGGAGCAGACACAGATATTCTGAAGCCGGCAGCTTGGAGCCCCTCTGGCCCTTCCCTTGTGCCACTGTTAATCTCTCTCTTGCTTGGGACAGGCAGAAGGCCCAAGGGGCTGAGCTGATGGGAGGCATTGGGGTCTGGGGGCAGTGGCTCTCCATTGATTGATATGGAAACATTTCAGTATTTTATCACCTATTTCTATGTAGGGAAATTCCTGTCCCATCCACCTACTTCTCCTTTCTTCTCCTGTCTTCAGTTGAGAAGGGAGCTGTGGGAATCTGAACCCAGACCTGCATTTGTGGTCAGCATTCCTGGTTTTCTGCTACATTGCCCTATAGACTGTGTTGAAAACCTGAAATACCTTGCTAATGACTGAGCATTCTCTGACAGTTTTTCTCCATTGACGCCTGATCTTTTCAACCTCATTGACTTGAACAGGAAGGAGTCTCAGGCAATTTTCAAGTTAAAATGTTATTATTCTTGTCCTGGATGTTGAATACAAAAAATGGTAATTTATGCACATAATCTTGTGGGTTTTCCTTAACTGACTTCTTAGATACTCATGGTTCTCTGTGCTGTCATTCAACCTCTATGTGGAAGTCAGGTTCTCAAGGCTGTCTTGTTCTTAGGCATCTTTTCCCCCCAGGTTTCTTTGCAGGCCCCACAAGGAGATATTAGGGCAGCTGTAGTTGCTGGCTGTGACACCTGATATGGGAACAAACACTCTTTCACAGGTGATAAGAGTCAGTAGCATTTCACTTTAGCTTTTACCTTTTGCTTTTTACTTGATTTTTTTTTTTTTTTTTGGTTTTAACTCATTGTTTCCTAAAATGTTCAGGAACAAAATAATACAGAGGGCTGAACCAGGCTCAGTGGACAGCATTAGGTTAATAATGTGAGCGTTTGTAGGAATTCACAGCTCAGGCTCTGCAGAGGGTCCATCTGAGCAGGAATCCCAACTCTGCCATTGTGTGAGCTACCGAAGTGCTAAGAGCTGGAGAAGCAGAAATGTGAGTGGCATAGAGATTGTTTCCTCCATCAGCTTGGTACTGACACAGGTCCTGATTAGCTGTGTAGGTTGTAATTCTTTCCCAAGCAGTGGATGCACAGTAGACTCCCTTTGGTGGGGGAGAGCAGTCCTGGAAGGGTACTGCAGTGCCCAGGGGTGAGGACTCTTCACTTTGTATGACCCAACTGACCAGGCTGCCATATTGCCATCTCCTAGCTCCATGGCACCTCTCTGTAGCACATTTAGGAGATTAACAGTCTAAAAGAAGAGTAATCACTGTGTGTCCTGAAGGCACAGGACAACAAACCATCAATTAAAAGAACATTCAGGGAGACTTAAGCACAGCACATTTTGGAACACAGATTTCTACAGAAATTTCACAGCCACTACATTTTCTTGGATATAATAATGTGAAATTCATCTCTGCAAGAAAGATGCTCCTGATGTTGGCATGACTTACTAGAGAATGGTGGTTCCTAGTTGTAGAATTGTTATGCCAGATTCATGGGACCCTAATTGATCTCCAGGAGCCATATCCGATGCAATCACACAAGAGTCTTTATTGCAAGCTCAAGCCTGCACTCACAACCGTTTCTGATGCAGCGGTCCCAGGGAGTGAGTCCGGGTCCTTTGTCAGTGAGATTTTATGGGTTTTGGAGGGATACTCTATGAGTCACAACATCACACAGCAAATCATTCCATACCGCGGGAAAGTCAAACAGTAACTCTTAACATTGATTAGCACATTCACTGGCAGGAACAAGTTGGGTAGGGGTGATTGGTCAGTACAATAGGGGGATTCCTTTGAACTGATTGGTTTAGGCCACAAGGGGTGTACGTGCTAAACTACATGGTTTCCCAACATGCTATCAACCACCATAGACTACTGGGGGGGTCATCTGGCATCCCAGGTATTTTCCCTGTCTCATGCTGATTGGAGGTTGCTAGGGGGTTGCTATGGGTCCTCACCTAGCCTAAGTCAGGGACACAGGCACTGCAGATCTCTCCTGTTATGTACAGACAAACAACTCAGCAGGGTGGGTATGTGCTTAGGAGTGCTCTGTGGGTTTTTCCAAGGACAAGGGTTATGCCTCCTTCCTTAGGACAGACTTTGCTCTAAGGTAGAGGCTGGTTTCTCAAAAATGGAGTCACATTAGTTTTTCAGAATCTATACCTGTTGTCCTATAATGAATGTCAGTGGGGTTGAGATGACTGGCAGTGAACAGTGTTGAGAAGCAGGTTACCCCTGGTTTACCAGTGTGCAATTTGGAAGCAGAGAATTGTTCTGGCTTGGTCACTTGTGAGATCTGTGTTCTTATACTTATCAGTGCCTCAGTTTCCTTATCTGACAATTGATAAAAGACACCTGAAGAATGTTTGAGAATTAACTAAAATGATGCATGTGTAAAGGAAGTGGGTTTGTAACATTTCCAGACAGGCTGTGTTAGAAGCTACATGACTTTCTTCTACTTAAGACCCACAGCAGCATCAGAGGGACACGCTATAACAAGGAGAGCCAGTTTTTCCATGTGGCTGGATTCAAACATAAAGTGTTGGGTTTAAACTCAAGTTTTTGTGGATTTCAAAATTGACTTTCTTTTCCCTCCATGCATCTCTTTGCTTCCTACAGCCTTACTGTTGTAGAAGCACCTAGATATTCTTGAAGTTTGTCGCAATGTACAGCTCTTGTGAGCTTCTGTGAGACGTGGTGCTTTCCTCCACAGATTCCCGTGCTCCTGAACCTGAGCCAAGACCCTGAGGTCAGCCTGCCTGCGCCACCACTCATGTACGCCCTGGCCTTCGGTGCCTGCCTGGGAGGTAAGGAGTGCTTTCTGCCCCTGGGAGAGCATGCCCACACTGTTGTCATGCCCAAAGCAACCCTGAGTATCAGATAGAAAGTAAATTAAGGAGAGCCTCGAAGATTTCCTGAGGGGAAACACATCTTCTCCTTTGGAATGATTCCAGAGCTACTCAGTTCCTCTGTGAAGCCTGTCACTTCTCACTCTCTGAGAACTGCCTCTGACATCCCACACCCATGGCCTGAGGATGATTGTGACTGATGTCTGAAAGCTAATGTGCAGCCCTACTGTGCCAAACGGGAAGTCTGGCTTATGAATCAGAAGCCATCCTCAGTGGCACTTTTCTCTTTTTCTTTCCCTTCCCCTTCCCTTTTTTCTTCCTTAAGCAGCAGGGGTGACAGCGGCCAATGAATGAGCCCTGAGAAATAGAGACTCCAACCTAATAGCAGGAAAAAAAAATGGAAGGTTTATTTTGGCGGGGGTGATAGGGTTGTAGTTTAGAGAAATTGCAGAGTAAACTAGAGTGTTGAATGAAACTGACTTTGGGGACAAAACATGAAGTCTTTGGAAACGTGTTTGCCTCCAAAGGAGCTGGATCCTTCTCACCTTTAGGAAGCTTAATCAACTTTGGGCAAACAGGAGAATTGTGGGAATCTTAGCTAAACACACCAGATATATTTAAAGTATTTTATTCTTACATCCAGGCATGGTTATATAATCCTGCCTTCTTTGTTGATTGATCTCTATGAAATCAATAACTTTCTTTTTAGTTTACCTCCTTATTTGTGAAGGGAGATTCATGCCATGTAGTAAAGTTTCTATAATTTCAAAAGACAGCTAATTCCTCTAATTCAGTGGTTCAGGACTGAACTTCTCACAAGAGTGCAAAACTGATAAACTTGCTCACAACTAAGAAACAGCTCCAGGAACTTCATTCACAGCTACACCTAACACTGGCAACAGAAGCAGAATCCAAGGACACCTGGAGGTACATCCCCCATGTGGGATTTTGTTCATTCAGACTTACTGAGTATCGGCTGTAATAGCCTGAAATTGTTCCAGGCAACTAATTCTTCCCTGATCTTGAATGGGGAAAAGAGTCACCTTATAGCAGATTGCTACATCCTATCCTAGTAGATGCCTCAAGTCCACAAGGGGTGCCCAAGAGAGACGGGAGGAAAAGTCAAAGAAGGTGCTCCAAATAGGGAGGTTCTAGCAGGTCTTAAAGGGTGAGAGGTCTCCTGAACTGGTTCTGATTTCCCTAAAACCTGTAGGGTGCCTACAGAGGGGAGCCTAAGGGAGAGAGCTTAACATGAATCATATATAAGATGATAACCTCAAATAGGATCAGATACTTATGAGCTCACTTGAGAAGTAGGGATATAACAGTAGGGAAAAATATAGGTTATAAATCTTGGGATCTTTTTAACCTAGCAGCTCTTGTTACTGAAAGACACTTGCTTCCAGCATAGCAGATGATCCATTGTTCTGGCTATTAATGTTATACTTTGATGAGGGATCTCTCTCTCATTGCCTCAGGGTTTGGCATTTAAAAAATACTGTAGTAGCTGGGGGTGATGAATGCCTGCAATCCCAGTAACTCAAGAGGCTGAGATAGGAGTATTGAAAGTTTGAGGCCAGCCTCTGCAACTTAGCAAAACCCTGTCTCAAAATAAAAAATAAAAAGAACTCAGTTGCTCAGTTGTAGAACATACCTGGGTTATACCCCCTCTATCAAAAAAAAAAATACTGTGATAAAGTCTACATAACATAAAATTGACCATCTTAGTCATTTTTAAATGTGCAGTTCAGTGGCATCAGATATAGGTCACATTGTACCTAACTCACATTGTAATTCACATTGCGTATCTTCCTATTGTAATTCACATTGTGCCAAAACCATCATCCATCGCTAGAGTGCTTGCTTTTCATCATCCCCAACTGAAATTCCATAACTATGAAACAGCAACTTGCCATTCTTTCAGTATTTGGCATTTTGAAGAACTCTTTTTTTTTTTTTGGAGGGGGGCCAGGGGTGGGTAACCGGGATTGAATTCAGGGGTAGTTGACCACTGAGCCACATCCCCAGCCCTATTTTATTTAGAAACAGGGTCTCACGGAGTTGCTTAGCACCTCATTTTTTTTTTTTTTTTTTTTTTTGCTGAGGCTGCTTTGAACTTGCAATCTTCTTGCCTCAGCCCCCTGAGCTGCTGGGATTACAGGTGTGCACCACCACACCCAGCTTGAAGAACACTTTATTTTATTTTTTTATTTTTAAAAAATTTTTATTGTTGGTAGTTCAAAACATTACACAGTTCTTAATATATCATATTTCACAGTTTGATTCAAGTGGGTTATGAATACATCAGACACTAAAATGGCAATATGTAAATCAATGGAAGTGTAACTGATGTGATACAGCAATCTGTATACGGGGTAAAAATGGGAGTTCATAACCCACTTGAAGAACACTTTAAATAGAGGTTTTCAGTTGACATTAGGATTATCAGTTACTGTATAAATTAGGAGACATTCACTAGATAGTTTGAAAGAAAAACTTCTTTACTGGTCTGACCCCAATACTTTTTGGTTACTCTTTTTTTTATTAAGTTAAGAACAACTTCAAAAGTCTTAAAAAAATCTTAATGCAAAGTTCCTGGAAAGCGGAGGCTGAGGCAATTTTGCACATTAAGGCTTGCTCAGTCGCTGCAATCCTAGGGCAGAAACACTGAGCAGAGGAAGTGACATGAACTCAAAGAACAAGGGAAAAGAAGAATGCTTCTGTGCGTGGCTATTGAGAGATTGGGGACAATCAAAGCAGCATGTGGCTGTATTCAAACCTGTTGCTTTCTTTGGGTCATGTATCTTGAAGGACAGGTGGCTCTTTAACTTGCCAAAGGGAATGCCAGTACATAGAGTTCATTTTCATGTTTTCTGTCAAGTGGAAAATTACTACTGGTATGGGAGCATGGCCTACTTAATCCAACTTGCACTGGCTGACGAAGGAAGTTAGGCCGGAGAGTCTTTGTATGAAACGTTCATCAAAAACAGGGCAGGGAATGAAATAATTTTCAAAATGGTTCTCATTCTCTCTCTAGATCCATTGATCACATGTCCGTGTAAGATAACCCAGAAATGCCAAGAAATATAGCAGCTGCTCATGCACACTTCAATCCCCATCTACTTCTTTGTAAATGGAACTGGGGTAGAGGCTTGAGCTGGGTAGTGACACCTAGGATCACTTTCTCCTTGCTACATGGAACCTATGCCATTTGTGGTGCCATGAAAACCCTGCTAGTATTTTACAAGATACAGGCAGTCCCTGACTTACAAGTGATCTGACTTAACAATTTTTTGACTTTGCAGTGGTGTGAAAGTGATATAAACTCAATAGAAACCATTCTACAAATTATGAGTTTTACTACTTTCCTGAGCTAGCACTCTGCAGCAAGACCCCCACCTCCCCCCGCCCTCTCTCAATGCTGGGCAGTGGCAGTGTGCTGTAGCTTCCAGTCAGCCACATGATCACAAGGGGAAACAACGGATCCTCTGCAGTGAGTGTGGTGTTGCTAAGCTAGGGTGTTTGCTAGGTGAGGGGTATTCAAAACATTTTTTACTTAAGACATTTTCAATTTATAATAGGTCTGTTGGGATGTAGCCCCATTGTAAGTTGGGAAGCATTTGTACTGCAACAACCACTGTACCACTGTACTGCATTTGAATAGTACACCTGCAATCTTGAGTGACTCCACAATTGCTCCACGAGATGTCTGGAGATGGACGTGGTTCTGTCCTCATCTCCCACAGGTGAAGCTGGCTCCCTTACATTTCTCCTGCCCATGACAGGAAGAATAGGCCGATGGTTCCTTTTCTGATAGGTAGCTGACATGGAGGTGGGTAGGAATGGCCATTTGCAATCAAGGAAGCTTGAGGGGGTATTTTGGGGGTAGAGGAGGCTTCTGATGATTTCCCTATTCCTGAGAACAAACTTGCTTCTTCCTTTGGACATTGTCATTTGGCAGAGATGCCTGGAGTCGTCTCCAGTCCGATGTGGGACCAGCTCTGTGCATGTTGGTGGGTGGTGGAACACACAGACAAACAGAGCAAATCCTGTCGGAGCCCTGCAGAAACACCTTTGGGCTTGCTCCTTCTCCGACTGCCCATCCCATGAGAGGGAGACAGAGACTTTCTCTATTGCTGTCATCATCTTGTTTTGCAGGTTTCTTTCATTATATCCAAAAACTTCTTAATAGAACAGAAATGATCTGTGGTTTGCAAAAGTTACAGTGCCTAGAAGATTGGAGACTGTGCGCTATTCTGAATCCTTATCTAGCAATTCTTTCTGCTGTACCAGCAAATATAATGCACCACCTGGGGGCTGACCCATCTCCCTCCCCACCTCCTTCTCTGTAGCTCCCTAGGCCATGTCCAGTTTGGTTGTCTCATTTTACTGACTATAAGACAGAAGGAAAGGCTATTTAGAAGCCTTTTGAAATGCTTTTGCCTCCCTCATACAAACAGGTGGGTGCCCATTCTTTTCCACATCTTCCTGCTTCAGATGTGGCCATGAAACTATCTCGTGATAAAAAGAGATGCTCAGAGAATTAAAGAGACCTGCCTCTGACATGAGACATTGAATGGAGGCTCACCAGCCCTTCACCTCCAAGTTTCTCATTCCATGAGAGATTATGCTACTGTTAGTCAGGTGTCCTGTTTCCCATAATTGAAAATATCCTTAAAACAAACAGGGTTAATGAGACTTAATAAGATAATGTTTTACATCCCAAGTCAGGAGGCCAGCTGACTTCTTACAGAGGGATGGCTCAAAAGGCAAGGACCTAGTTGGGGTGGGGGGAGGTCAGGTTATGAGGACATTTCTGGTTTAGGGAGACTTTGAGGGGAGAGCAATCTCTATGGTGTCATCCACACCACATTCCCAGGAAGCTGGGCGGAAACCCAATGTATAGAGCCTGCACAATCAACTACATGACATAATCCTGTACCATCCCTGTTCATTTCTGTGTCATCTACCTCCCCAAGGCAAAAGTAGGAACCCTGCCTCATTTCTTCATGGGGACATGGGTCCTCCTTCTTCTTTCTGTTTGCAGAAGGTCATTCCCTTGGGCTGATAATGCTGTGGGTAGTTACAGAGCAGTGTCTCACAGTGCGCCAGTCCTCCACAGAAAGAGCCTGTTCTTCAAATGTTTAGGCACAGATGTTGGCACTCAGCTACATTGGCTGTATCTGGGTCATGTAACCATTCCTGTTAATTGATTGCCACAGTTAAGGGAAAGAAGAGGCCCATTGGCTTGACCATGCAGATTCACCCTTCCCCGAATCAATCATTGCGAGTGTGTGAAGGGAAGGGGGAGATCTAATGATCTGATTGGTTGGTCTTGGCTCTATCCCTTACCCAGGCCCTGAGCACTGGCTTATGTTCATGTGTGTACACTGTGTCTCTCCTCACCTTGTGCACTGTCAAAAAAGACTTACCTGAGAAGGTATTTCATGTGAAGGAGATGCCCTTTGGTGAACAATGCCAAATTCCATTGTTTCACCTGGTTGTTTTCATCCATTCTTTCATTCACTGAAAGAGTTTCCTGGCAGGTGTCTGGGCCTGGAGCCCAAGGAAGGCAGTTTTTGTCTGAGATTTCATTCCATTGTCTCAGAGGACATACATTTTCACCTGTGGTTCTTAGCTCTACTTGCATTTTCCCTTAAAGGATACATACCTTGTGATTGCCTATTCTCCTTAGTATCTCTCTCTCTGTCTCTTTCTCTCTCTCTCTCTCTCTCTCTCTCTCTTTTCTATCACAGAGAGGATATAGTCTATCTGAGAGGGAATCATGGTATTTATAAGCAGAGAACTTATTTTCTGGTTGCAAGTGTGTGTCTAGATATTTATTTACAAAGCAATCACTTTGATCGTGCCTGTAAAGTAATCATCAAATCAAAGCCTCTGAAATGGTCCAAATATTACAGAACAAAAGAGCAGAAACCTACCACCAAGATAAATTGGAATTTTATTCTATTTTAAAACTTTTGATTCCAGGTAATGGGACACTGATTGGAGCATCTGCAAATGTCGTTTGTGCAGGAATTGCAGAGCAACATGGATATGGATTCTCTTTCATGGAATTTTTCAGGTACTTTAAAAAACTCATTTAAAATTTCTGTTTAACTACCTAGTTTGAGACTTACTGGATTTTTTTTAACACAATAATGCATTCTGCTACACACGGGGCTAAGCATACATTTAGCAATTAGAGAGACTCTGGTATAGGTACTGTTAGCTCAGAAAGAAAAAGGTCTTAAAAATTTATTGCTGGAACTAGCTCTGTCACACAGAGGCTGTTATGAATAATTCAGCTTGAACCTGGAGTCAGGAAATGGTGGTGGGCTTGCTGGATATTTAATGTTTGCTGTTCTCTTGAAAATTTCACTGGGGACTGTGCCTTGACTATCCATTAAGATGGTGCATAACGAGAGTCTGACTTCCTCCCACCAGAGTGCATAGAAGAAAGTTCCTATTAGCAGGGATTATAATATCCCTGTTATCAGGGATTATATTGCAGACTGGGGCTTGGATCACCATGCTGAAGGTTTTCTGGAAGCAGACATTCCACATGTGGGCATGTCTCAGGAAGAGCACACAGAGGCAAAGTCTAGAAGAGGGGAACAGAGCTGGTCTCTGTGAAGGAGAACTTGCTCCAAAGTGTGCTTTTTTCTACTCTTGGGGCTTAGTTCCCTGCACACCTGTGTTTACCTGGCACAACTTCACCTTTCAAGCTGGTGAGAGAACAGAATAGTCCTATAAAATGGTGCTATCAAAAATGAACTTCATTCCCTCGGAGTTGAGTCATATTTCCATGGAAGTTCTTCAACTACAAACTCAGTTGGGTATATGCACAGTAATGGGTTTCAGAACCAATCTTCAGCTTTGACTGAGTGGCAGAGTAACCCACAGCTTGTGGAGATAGCCATGCCTGCTCCAGGCACTTGTTCTTCCTCAGGGTGCTGATTGCCTGGGCTTGGGCTTGGGCAAGAACCCTGGCCGTGATATCCAAGCAAGGACTAAGAATAGTGATCTTGTCCGTTTTTAGTTGTTATAACTAAATATAACAAAATAGCTATATCTGGCTATAGGGTTTTTTTTTAAGTTTACAGTTCTGGAGGCTGGGAAATCCAAGAGCATGATTCTGGCATCTGTTTGGCATCTGGTGAGGGCTTTCTTGTTGCATTATAACATGGTAGAAAGCTTCATGCGGTATGGCAGAGCAAGCCACGGACAACTTGCTTATATAACAAATCTACTCCCTCACTAACCAAATAATTCAGATATTAATCCATGAATTATTTAATAAATTTATAAGGGTAGAGCCCTCAGGACCCAGTCATCTCTTAATGTTCCCACCTCTCGATACCATTAACATGTGAATTTGGAAATTAAGTTTCCAACAGATGAAATTTTATTTTTAATATTTAGTTTTTAGGTGTAGTTGGATGCAATACCTTTATTTTATTTATTTATTTTATGTGATGCTGAGGATCGAACCTAGGGCCTCGTACGTGCTAGGGAAGCACTCCACTACTCAGCCACAACCCCCAGCCCCATCCAACAGATGAAATTTGAGGGACACAGTCATACCACACAGCAACTGCTCTGTATGTAGAGAAAGCTGCCAATTTGGGGCAGATTTACTATATTGGCCACTTCCCTGGTTCATGAAAAACTAGCAATACTTGTCAATTTTGCTGAGATATTAATTTGAATGATACTCCTTGGATGTAGGAGGAGTTGCTGGGCTAGTGATCAAGCTATGGGGGATACTGAATGTGTGTTTCCCTGCAGGATTCTGAGCACATTGCTGACCCTGCTGTTTAGGGACAAGGTGCCAAATTTAATGATCGACCAACTTATTCCTGCTTAGACTCTCATCGGCCTCTGCTGAGAGTAAAAGGAATGATCCTGTCACTTAAGAATTTTCTTGTGAGGTCAGCATTCAGCAGGATGGCCCCCCTCACACTGCCATCTTCTCATCTTTGCTCCAGAGACAGTGAGGGTCTAGATTCAGAGCACAGCCAAGAAGGGGATTCAAAGATGAGTCAAGAAGGGAACTTGAAGACGGGCTGCAGGGGAGACACAGACTTGTTCTGACAAACCAGCAGTCCCTCATTTGGGCCCGGGTCCTAGTTTCTGCAGAGCTGAAGGGCTGTCACTCAAGTGTGCCTAGCCTCTTTGGTTAGTCAAGCATGTGCTATACTGGCCCCTCTATTTCCTCTCTACTTTCAGAGTGCAGTGAAACCTCAGGGCTATTGTGTGCTAGTGATTGATCTCACAGGGAGGCCTGGTATGATTAATCTTATGAAACAGAAAAAGAGAGTTTTTAGGACAATTATATACCCACTCTGATCTTCCCCTAGCATCAATTTGGAATATTCACTAGGACATCTGTCTAAGGAAACAGGTTCGTTTCATACCACTCAGGACATGTGAAGTGTATGGAGATGGTGCATGTGTACAATGAACTACTCACGTAAAAAATTTGATGAGCTGTGTGCACAGCACATGAGTATACATGTGTATATTATATTGAATGCTGTGATGACTTTCAGGAACTTGGTGGTCTCAGAAAGCTTGGGCAGGGCTGCTAGTTGTCTCCTCATAAGCTCATTAGCTCCTGGACTTATAAATTATGTCTATTTTTTKGGGAAAAAAATGCCCTGTGGTTAGTAGTCAAGGGCCATGCTTTATTTTGGTCTGATTATAGTTGTTCTTCTAGCTGCCATCCTTCTTGGTAGGTCCCTGCTATGGGAAAATCAGAGCAGTTTTCCCAAGGTGTGGTCATCTAATTGTTGTAGGGCCCTTGTTTGCATGAAGTACTGAATTTGCAACTGCATATTCACTAACTTGACTTTTATTTACCACATTTAAAATTTATTTCTTTAAAAGGTAGCTTCTTTATGATTCACAGTTCAAAATGTTGACTTCCTGCTTCATTTTAAAAATTACTACTTTTCTGATTGTGTAAATATGTTTTTAATGAAAAATATGTAAAAGAATAAAACATAAACATAACCTATAATTTTGCTACCCAGAAATAACCACTGATTACAATTTCTTGGGTTTTCTTACATTTTTCCTGTCTACCATATAATACATGTTTTTTTTTTAAGTTCTAAAATCACATGACATTCTACCTTTTATTCTTCATAATAAATTGTGAGTATTTAACAGGCCATTAATCATTCTTCTAAAATAGGATATATTTATGCATACCACATGTGGATATATCCCTGTTTATTTCTCCTTTGTTGGGCATTGAGATCAGTTGTTGTTCTTTGTTCTTATCATTGACAGGATAATAAATTTTGCTTTATTTCTGATCATTGAAAATAAATTTCCTGATATCCAGTTGCTGGCTAAGTGAATCATGTTTTTAAATATTGACAAACTGGCATCTGGAATGTTGCTATTGCTATTTACAGCACCTCCCTACTGAGACACATTCCTGCCATATTCAACACTCATTGCCCATGTGGCAGACTACAGCAGATTCGMATTCTGTTATTATTAATTCTACTGAGGTTAAACTCATTCTATAAAGGTATAGTATATCTGCATGTCTCATTTTATAAACTTTCTATTCATATTATTTGCTTATGTCTTTCTCTTGGGAGGATTGAATTTCTCCTGTTCTTTTTTTTTTTTTT